CCCTTCTCCCTCACTCTGAGGGGAGTGAGTGCTGGGGTCCCGGGGTAAGCAGCTTTCTCTGAGTTTAGAGAATTAAGTAGAAGTTTAATTGATCTTACACTTTGGTCTTTTGGCAACTACCGTATATACTTGAGTATAAGCCGACCCGAATACCAGCCAAGGCACCCAATTTTACCACAAAAACTGCATTAAAAATGTGCTGAAAAAACTTGGCTTATATATATTTTTTAATACAACTTTTGATATTTTGCTCATATACTTCTCCTATTTCTGTTTCAGTGTCCTGGGTCATGAAACTTAGTCCACAACATGCTCCATTATATGTGAGTAAATCATGAAATTTCTTTTGATTTTGTAATTATCTTTGCTGTTTATGTGTTATAATAAATCGCCAGGCACTAATGTGGAGAGCTTAATTTGGATGCTTTTAGCCATCTTTACACTTTTATTGCTATAGTAGATTTCAGAAGTTAAGTGTAATCTCTGAAAAGCTCACCGCTGTCCAGCCAATTTTGACTTACTGTGGCTTTACAGGACAGTCATGGAGCCCCGGTGGCATGGCGGTCAATGTGCTGGGCTGCCACCTCCTGGGTATGCAGCTTGAAACTTCCAGCTGCTCCTCGGGAATAAGACGAGGCTTTCTTCTGTACAGAGTTACAGTCTCGGAACCTACAAGGGCAGTTCTTCTCCGTTCTAAAGCATTTCAAGACGTTAAGTCTTGATGGCAGGACAAAACCTCTTTCTCCTGCACAGTGACTGGTGGGGTCAGACCTTGTGGTAGCAGCCCAGCTCCTAACCCATTGCGCCTCCAGTGTTAAGCACAAGCATGTGATACCTGTGACCTGGAAGCAGTGTAGGTAAGAGGCACATATGAAACAATAAAGATACCTTCTATGATAATCCTGTGCATTATTTTTACCTGTGTATTTATGTAAAAGTGGTCTGGGGATTTTCCCACTACAAGTATTCCCGTTTTTGAAATTCCTATTTATGCCTCTGTGTTAGTCAGGGTTCTCTAGAGAGATAAGACCAAATTGCTGATAATTTAATATATTTATTTATGAAGATAATTAGATATATAACAAGAAATGAACTATTAAATTATATACAGATAAATATATAATACAAGAAATGAACAGTTAGATTATAAGCACTACAAATGGCTCAG